TAGGTTGGAGACCACTACTTCTAGGTTGGAGACCACTACTTCTAGGTCGGAGGCCATTGCTTCTAGGTTGAAGGCCATTGCTTCTAGGTTCGAGGCCATTACTTCCAGGTTGGAGGCCGTTGCTTCTAGGTCGGAGGCCATTGTTTCTAGGTTCGAGGCCATTACTTCCAGGTTGGAGGCCATTGCTTCTAGCTTGTGAGGCCATTGCTTCTAGCTTGGAGGCCATTGCTTCCAGGTTGGAGGCCATTGCTTCTAGGTTGGAGGCTATTACTTCCAGGTTGGAGGCATTGCTTCTAGCTTGGAGGCCATTGCTTCTAGCTTGGAGGCCATTGCTTCCAGGTTGGAGGCCATTGCTTCTAGGTTGGAGGCTATTACTTCCAGGTTGGAGGCCGTTGCTTTCAGGTTGGCGGCCGTTGCTTTCAGCTTGGAGGCCATTGCTTCTAGCTTGTAGACCACTACTTCTAGGTTGGAGGCCATTGCTTCTAGGTTGAAAGCCATTGCTTCTAGGTCGGAGGCCATTGCCTTCTAGGTTTGAGGCCATTACTTCCAGGTTGGAGGCCGTTGCTTTCATGTTGGAAGCCATTGCTTTCAGAGGTTGGAGGCCATTGCTTTCAGGTTGGCAGCCATTGCTTTCAGGTTTGAGGCCATTGCTTTCAGGTTGGAGGCCGGCTTCTAGCTTGGAGGCTTTGCAGCACTGTTTGCAGCACTGAGTAGCCTTACTTCAGTGAACTACCCAAGTGTCGGATTGATTTCTTGGTTTGTGCATGTCATCCTTGAATTAGCCCAAGAAAAGATCCCCAGCAGTCGGGCATGAATTTTTGGCAACATCGAAAGTTCACTCACAAGTGCCGTGTTTTTGCCAGACAGTGCTGCTTTGAAATGTGCCATGCAAGCATTACCACATGGAACCTGCTTCAGAACCCGCTCTAGAGCCTGCAGCATGTCAGCATGATAGTAGCTTCTTGCTCCTAGTAGTAAGGCCGGGAGCCCTAGTAGCTTCTTGTTCCTAGTAGTAAGGCCAGGAGCCCCTAGTAGCTTCTTGCTCCTCCTGGCCTTACTGCTAGCAGCAAGAAGCTACTAGGGCTCCTGGCCTTACTACTAGCCCCGGGGCCAGCGGCCCTAGTAGCTTCTTGCTCCTAGTAGTAAGGCCAGGTGCCCTACTCCTACTCCTCCTCCTACTCCTTCTACTACTACTACTACTACTACTACTCCTGCTCCTGCTCCTGCTCCTGCTCCTGCTCCTGCTCCTACTCCTTCTGCTCCAACTGCTACTGCTACTGCTACTGCTACTGCTGCTGGCGCTATAGTAGCATTGCTACCTGCACGCTTAGACCGTTGTCCTTTCCCTTTTGTTCTGCACCTTTTCTTTTGTACCCCTTTCTTTTGTACCCTTGCCACCGGGAATCAGAATGCAATGCGGTCCTGATCCTTCTCTCTTTCGTTTCAACGTGGCTGAAACCACCGGTCCATACACTGCCTGAATATGCCTGCACAAATCCTTCCGTGAACTTGATTCTCCGAGATTGAATTTCAGCCTTAAACAAGTCTTAGGAACTAACGACGAAGGTCTTAGTGGACTCTAGAACCAGCAGCCGCAGCAGGCATGTGGATGTTTGCAGCAAGCCAAAACGAGCTGCACAAAGGCTACTCCAGAAGCACCAGCAGGTTTTTAAGTTCCACCAAACACTGTGGCATTATTGCCACACTACCAACCCAGCCATTAAAGGCTTGGACTCAAGGAAAGCCGTGTGAAAGAACTACAGGAGCATTCATCAACAAGACAGGCTGTTATGTTTGTCAAGTCAGCAAGTGGGGCCGAGAGTGTTGTATTGGGTGTGCAGGAGCTTTCTGCGGATGCAGCCCAGGCGGTATAACTGAGGTTTTGCAGCGTTCTTTGCTTCGCTTGATTTTTCCATGCGTGAGAGGTACTGAAACTTCTAAGACGCCATGAAACCAAGCATAATAGCAATGGCCTCCAACCTACTAGCGATGGCCTGCAACCTAGTAGCATCTTGAATCTTGAGAGGTACTAAAACTTCTGGAGATCAAGCAAGCGCATTTCACCTTGACGATCGAGGTGTGTACAGCTTTGGACATCAGGGTCGCATGTGATCAAATGTGACGCTTACTTTGATCGAAAGATGGCTGCAGAACGGGTGTTTATGTGTCGCCTAGATGCTACTCTTCATTAGTTTGGAGGCCATCGCGACTAGGTTGGAGGCCATCGCTATTATGCTTGGTTTCATTGCGTTTAGGGGCGTTAAGTCTTGGACTACTCATGGATCCAACTGCATGTTGTCTTGTTGCTGTTTCGATCGTCTTTCGTTTTTGCAGGCCCATTGGCAGCAGAATGGTGAATTTAAAGACTGTTCTGCATTGGAAGATTGAGCTCAAGAAGCAACGTGCGTGCTCTAGCAGTACCTCCAAGAGCAAAAGCCGTAGAAAAGTTCTGTCTTGCAATACCTGCAAAGAGCACAGTGAAAAATTTGTTGTTACACTCTGTTAGAAACCAATTGAGGTCTACTGGCTCCTGGCCTCGCTACTAGGAGCGGCTACTAAAGTCTCAAGGCTTTTCACAAAGCGACCTCTACAGCTAAGACGCCGTGTTTCCACGGTGCGCAGTTTCACGACACGGACCGAAACGAAAAGGTCCTTTTCGCTGAGCGCCCCGCTTACTAGTGCGCTACATATGGATGCAGGATAGCTCACGCACTATTCATTTGGTTCCTACATGTTTAAACTTAACTCGTAGCGATAGTAGCGCAACAAAAGAATGTTTAAAAAGAAATGCGAGGGTTTTTTTGGTTTTCATGGCTTCCCTTTTGTCTACCCTAGGTGTGCCGCTTTCGGAAGTTTCTCTTTCGGGATCACTGGCCATCTACACGCTCAAGCAGAGATAGATCATCGCATGCGCACAGACTGGACAAGTGATGGAACTAGTTTCATTGAGAAGACGTGAAGAACATATGAAGAAGAAGACAAGAAGACGTTAGTTTCATGAGAGTTTGTGTGGAAAAGGCAGAAGACTGGGCAGCCATGGCGGCAGTGGCGGTTCCTTCCCAAAAGTACTCTGAGGTTTTGCGGGAGCAGCTGCAACATGTGTACAATACATTGCTTGAACAGCACAATGTGGAGACAGAACATTTGCGTAACTCGATTTGGATGCTGCAAAACCAACGCATTTCCGGTAAGACAGAGGATGGGGGCGATGGGGACGACGGGGAACAGGAACTCTCCAGTGTCTTGGAAGGTGTGCAAGTGGCAGAGTTGGACAGCAGCTTTAACGAGGTGTCCTTTTACAAGTCTGACCGAGCACTGGAGAATTGGGCACAACTCTCTGAATTGATTCTGTGCAATCAAGAGTATTTGAGTAATTTGAGTATGCGCCGTGATGAATCTGAAAGAGAGGAAGAAGTCATGGACAAAGGGTCCGAAGCTGCTCAGCTCCAATTTATTGATGGACTTCAAATGCGCAAAGCATGGACGGTCGGGCTCCAGGAGGCCTCAATGATCAATCGCAATAGGAACTATCGCGTATCCAATGCCGGCAGCAGTTCCACAATGCGAATGAATGACATTTTGAAAGATCCCTCCATTTTACAACCCTTTGTCCTTGGGCCTCGCAATGGTATCCAACTGCTTTGGTCCTTTGTGGGAAGTATTTTCATTCTTTGGGACCTCGTCACCATTCCCTTGGAAATGTATGATATTCCGAAATTTCTGGCTTTTCTGGAAGTCTTTGGATATGTCACTTTCGGCTTTTGGATTCTGGACATGCCAACTCATTTGATCTTTGGTCGTGAGATTAATGGTAAAGTAGAGCTACGACCTTGGAAGTTAGCTCGAGAGTACTTGTACAGTTGGTTCTTCTTGGATTTGTTGGTGATTTCGATTGACGTGGGGCTCATGCTCTTACAGGAAGCCATGAGTGGTGGTTGGAGGTCTGCCCGTTTCCTACGGACTTTGCGCTTGTTGCGGTTGTTGCGGCTGTTGCGAGTGGCCAAGTTGCAACAGCAGCTCACCCTCTTGGCCAACCGCTTTTTGTCCGCACATGCGTTCATGGTGATGAAAGTTGTGGCGGGGCTTTTGATGATTTTGGCCATCAATCACATCATCGCATGTTGCTGGTTCGGCATCGGATCTCATGCTGAAGTGGATGGAAAGAGCTGGATTTTGCGCTCTGACTTGAATAAAGACGACTTTGCAGAGGCCAGGGCTTGTCGCGAAGTAAAGAAAGGTAAACAAAAATACGATAAAAAAGAATAGGAGCAAGGACGCTACTAGAAACAAGTGCATCGCTTTTAGTAACAAGTGCCTTACTAGTAGTAACAAGGACGCTACTAATGGGCTCCTGGCATCGCTACTAGGAGCAAGGACGCTACTAGGGGCTCCTGGCCTTACTACTAGGAACAAGAGGACGCTACTAGGAACCAGAAGGGAAAAGAGAAGAACTGCACCTAGATGCGCTGCGTGAAGGCCTATGCAGCTTCCATTCACTGGGCCTTGACACAATTCACTCCGGCCACGAACAACATCGCTCCGGACAATGCAGTGGAAAGGCACGAATCAGAGATGAAAAAGAAGAATGTGAGCCTTCAATAAGGGCCCTTATTTTTCAAAGCCGTTCTCAAAGCTGCCCTTTTTTGTTCAATCTATTCTTTTGTGATGTGGCTACTCTGCTTTGAACATGAGTGAAGCACGCATCCCCGTCACTTGCCAGGTTCTTTGCCGTGTGGGTGATCCTGCTGGCCATGGGCGTTTTTTCCTCTTTTATCAGCTCTATTACAAGTACGGTCAGTTCTTTGAGAACATATAGACAGGAGCAGTCCAAGAAGCAATCACAACTCTTGCGCTTCTTCAACGAGAGGACAGGAACGAAAGAAAAATCGAAAAGACACATGTCTTTATGATACTAGGAACAAGAAGCTACTAGGGGCTCCTGGCATCGCTACTAGGAGCAAGGACGCTGCTAGGGGCTCCTGGCCGTACTCCTAGGAACAAGAAGCTACTAGGATGTATCAGTATCACAACTCTTACAGTTCAATTTCGTCATGAATCCATAGAAAGGCAACTTGTCGATGTCCAAATGAGGCCTTCAAGAAAGCTTCTCCTCGACAATGTCTAGTTGTTTGTGGTGAACGAATGAATTGAGGTCCTTTTCTTTCAACACAAACAAAGAAAATCAGAGGTCTTTCTAATCTCCCCATTGTTTGTCTTTCTCTTGCGGCCTTGGGGGTAGCCAGCAATTAGTCGACGCCTAATTTTGTTTGCATGTAAGTTTTCTTCGCTTTACGGAAATCAAAAGCCTTTACAATCTGTTTGTTTTTGTCTTTGTCTTGCAACCTGTTCCCTCCCTTCCAGAGTTTCCCATCAGACGGGTTAAACTTCTGACTGTCTTTATTAGTGGCACCGCCGACAACAATGTCAACGGTCTTTTTTTGGTGAAATCTTTGCCGGTTTCTTCTGTTGCAGCATTTTAATCGTCCGAAACCACGCATTCCACCAGGTTCCAACTCCATTTGCAAGCTGCAGCAAACTAGTGTCCCTAAAGATCTTGGAACCAAATGATTAGTGCGATCGCTTCTTCAAGGAAGTTATCCCCCGAGCTTCCTTGAAGAAGTGTGAGCTATCCTGCGTCCTACCTAGGACCTAGAAGCTTTCTATTGCTAGTAGCAAAATAGTCGCCTTACTTAATTAAGTAGGTGTTTGCCTAATTAAGTAGGAGCAGACTCTATAAAATAGAAAGAAAATGAAAACATTAAAATCTGAAAAAAAGAACTGCTCCCTTGTGCTCAGCTTCAGGAATTTGTCAACTGACTTGTACAGCAGAGTTCAAGAGGTGGTCCGGAGACAAGGTCTTTTTGAAGTTAGACTCAAAGAGACAGAGGTGACATTGTTCAGCGGAGTGCCTCAACGGCTTTTGATCCTTATGCACGAGGAGATGTTCTTACCTTCAGTCAATGCTTTGGGTTTTTGGCCAATGTGGAGCCACTTCGAAGATCAGAATTTCTTCAGGGATGTGTGTCATATTGCCATAAAAGAGCATGTTGTGACCCCTGGACAAGATGCCTTCATGCCTGGCACAGATTGCCAGGAGGTGTATGTCATACAATCAGGCACCATGCAATATTCAGCCAAGCCAAGGGCATCATCACGAAATTATGAAACAGTTCGGGAGGTTGCCAAGGAAGCAGACGTGCTGTGTATGCCATGTTTCTGGGCAGATTGGCACCATCGCGGAAGAATGACTGCTGAGAATGCCGCATGCTACTACATTGGGGTTCATGCTGAATGTTTTTGCAATTTAGCAACCAAAAACGGCGGGCCCCTGTGGCAATTTTTGCAGATCTTTGGAATTCTGCTGGTGGGTCATATTGAGGGTATGGATGAGGAGCACACACTCATGACAGACTTGGGCTTGCCTGAGGAAGAATTTGCCAAGCTGACCTTGCGCGCACAGGAATTCGCATGTACTGTCCGAGACAACCATAAGCTTGACGTTCACAGCCAAACGAACGCTTTGAACCCTTTAAAGAATTTGACAAAGCCATCTTTTTCACGCTCGTCAACTCAGGGAACTCAAAGTGAAATTCTTCAATGCCGAATGTAATCGACTCACCAAAAGGTGAAGAATCGAGGCCAATCGTAGAATATCGAAGTAGTTTTGGATGTAAAATGCATCCAAAATCGTTGCGCCTGTCGAACAGCACAGGGCCCTGTTACATGCGATGTATTTTGCCTTTTCACTTGACCGCAAGAAATTGTTTCACGTTCTGCCGAAAATAGTGTTGAATACAGCCCAGGGTATATTTTAGAAGCATGTGCAATTTATTGATACAAGCGGTTCCCGGGCAAGCCGGCGGCGGAAGTTTCCTATAAGAACAATTTGACCTATAGCTTTGCATCCGGAGTGTCCCCTTCGCACACGCCCTGCGACAGTCATCCAATCATCGCTCCCGCACCCCTGTCACATGCAGCCTGGCCGCCCAGAAAGATGCACTTCCGGGCATGGTGATGACGGAGGGGACGATGGTGATGATGATGCTAGTGATTGTAATGACTACACCGATGATGATGATGATGATGATGATGATGATGATGAAGGTCATGATGTTCATGGTGAGCAAGGTGATGCTGGTGATTGCAATGACGATGACGATGATGATTGTAATGATGAGGATGGTAACGATGGTGATGAATATGGTGCTGGTGACGATGATGATCACAATGTTGGTGCCCATGGTGCTGATGATGATGATGACGGCTCTAATGATGCTGTTTGGATGAGGATGGCCAGGACGATGATGAGGATGATGATGATGATGGTTTTTCAGTAGAAGGACGACGAACGGAGAACGACGGAAAAGAGGACGATCGTTCTGACTCCCCGTGACACCTCCGAAGACCTGAACACGCTGCGATTTCCACACCGCAACCCGAGAGCCCATCAACCTGTGAATCCTCCCTTCTTTCTACACAGTGTAAAGTGT